AATGAAGTAATAATTACCTCAATTAGTAACTAAACAACATTTTATTACCATCGAAATTTCTTATATGTTTTTATGTTTTAAAATTATACTCATATCTTAGTAGGTGAAGGTAATATAATTAAGCTATTTTAAAACAATGCGATATACTTTCGGCTGTCTTTTAAGAACGATGTTTGTGTGACATGAAGTCACATATCGTGTTCTACTTTAAATTATTACTAATAAGTCGAATAACAAATAATAAAAATAAGAAGTTAAATGATTAAAATTAATGAGTAGAAAATATAATATTGTACGTTTAAATCCGGTGTTTCTTTAACAGTACTTTTGTAGTCTTAATTAAAAATTTGTTATCTTGGTATTAATACAAAAACAGCCCTTCTTTTAACTAGTTTCATAGTAAATTATGTTAAATTATCTTTCTATGAAAAATTATAGTTAAACAAGCACATATGAACCGGTGGGAGGCGCTGCTATCGCGGTTAGTTTTGTCAGAATATATAAAACTTACCGTGTGTTTCTGGGACCAAATTTTGTATTAAACATATAGTTATAGCAATATATTTCACACATGGATTTTGGTCTCAGAAACTCACGGTTAGACACCGAATATGACATAAAAGAAAAAAATACTTGACAGCTACAAAGCAAAGAGGAGATTAATTTGTGGACCTTTTGACATTTCTTGATGTTGACATAAGGACGCTAGTGATATGTCATAATTTAGTTTGACTCGTGTCCACTTGTGCCAACCGGATCGATGCATTATCGGTCTATAAGATTTAAAAATTACAGAACATAATGTCATGTAGTTTTAATTAAGAGATGGAATGCTGTAAAACATTATATTTTTAGAAAATAATTGTCGAAATGTCATTAAAATATCTCTCGATATTATTTTAAGACACATCTTAGATAATCAATGACATTTATGCAATAAAAACTTGTTACATTCAGATTTTATCGACACAAAGTCAATCACAATCGAATCGAATCGATTACAACTTTTAAACTTGTCTCTTCAACTGTCAAATATATCGATTTAAAAGATATCAGATGTCATGAATGTTAAGTGTTAAACTGTAAATATTATGATGTATTGGTTCATTTATTCAATTTTGCAAGGTTTTAAAGACGAAGATTAAAAAGTTAAGATAGGCCACTTATTGTTTATGGATTGCCAAAACTGATGTATGAATTATACTGTCGTCCCTTTCATTCTGTTTGAGAAAACAGAGATAACATTATATTTGACGGTTTTAAACTATCGTAAGATATAGGCAGATATTTTTTTTTAGATTGTTAAGAATCTTTAGACCTTTCTATCTTTGTACATATATAGCGTATAACACTATTTGTTGCGTATATTTAACGTTAAATAAAAGAAACACTTACGTTATTCTTTTCAAATACACTTGATGCTACTCTTAAGATTTTTTTTCACTTTGAAACAATCGAATTAATATCAATGTTAAGTCAATTCACTTTAAACAACACTATAAAGGTCCACCACTAAGTTTTAATAGCCTAAAAAGTTCGTCGTTCAAAAAATTTACTAACAGGCAAATTTTTTGTTAAATAAAAATAGCAAAAATAATCAAATTATTATAAGTAATTAGTATTTAATTGCAAGACGTCACGTATGTAGGAATACGTACTAAGTACCAATACGGGGACAATGATGTTGACGCAACATTTAGTACGTGCTTTTGTATTGAAAACGGCTTTGTTAACTCCATTATCAGAATATGCGGCATTACGTATATCGACTCGCTTCAATTGTTTCGTTTAGTTAACGAAGTTTTCAGAATGAATATTTTATTGTCAAAGTATACAGTGGGGGATAATGGGAAAAGACAAGACCAGTGACGCAAAACATAATGCCACTTATCGTTGGTTTCTTAGACCAAAAACTCTTTATAAAATATTATCAGCCCTATCATTATCTTTGACAACACAAAGATAACGATATGTTTAAAACAGGCATTGGTCTCAGAAACCAACGGTTACTGTCGCAATCAGAATTGTTGTCAGCCCATATCCATCCCGAGAGGTTCGAAGCCGACCTTAGTTAGAGGAAATCTACCTTTAGTGAGCAATTAACGTCTCTATGCAGCAATCGGTTAAAATAAATACAGTTGTAGTTTACCGATATAAAAATGACTGAAACAATGGATTCGAACCAAGTTTTAACAAATAGTTTTGTTTGGAAATCACTCTATAACGTGTTACTTACGGCTATCTTTCTACTATTACAAATGCGAATGTTTGGATGTATGTTTGTAAGAAGGTCTATCCAAAACGAATCTCACTGTAAATTGGCATAGATGTAGAACATAGTCTGGTAGAACACATAGGCTACTAATTATAATAAGTTACCTTTAATTCCGTGCGGACGGAGTCGCTGGCGACAGGTAGTCTGTTAATGATTATTTACAAATAAATCTTCATATTTTAGAGTGCAGTAAATAAAAATTCAAATGAATTGTTTCAAGTTATAATAACAAATAATAATATCTTAACACTTTAGGTAGGATACAATTTTTTGGTTTCGTTTTGCCGAAATTACAAAAATCTAGCAAATAATGGAATTTTTTATCAATTATAAAAACAATCAACATTTTGTAAAAAATTTACTCGTTTTGGTTTATTTATGGCACTATTTTTGTGGGTAATTCTTAAGTTATTGGTTAACATATTCTCAAATTAATATAAACTTTATCACGTTCGATTAAAATTGATAATTACTTGAAATCACGGTCAACTTATAAAATCAATATCAGCAAAAAAAAAAAAAAACAAAGTTATTATGCACTTAACAATAATACAATTAAATGTCGCAGTTACATATTTTCAGGTAATCTTGAAAAAGTCTAGAACTGGAATGGAAAGTTAGTTTTTATTATAACTACAGATATTATTGCTTTTTATTATTTTCCAAATACTGATTAATGTCGACCCTATAAGAAAATCGATTCGTTTAATTTTAATATTATAAAAAAAAAATGTAATGCCTTTCTATTAAATAATTAACCTAATTAAATACTTCAGTTTTGTCTAAAGTATAATAATATCTGGGACAAGTTTACATACAAATTATGTATACAGGGTGTCCCAAAAGGTTACGTACATAGGAAGGGGTGTGATAGGGATGGTCACAAGGGTCACCAGAAAAATTAAATAAAAAATCCCCTCTGCGTATTAAAAAAAATAAATGGCATCTTTTAAAAACTTAAAAATTTTACACCTTCTGGGGCAATTTTAATTTTCTTTAAAATGTTTGTTAGTTGTATTGTTTTTTTAATTTCATATTGATAAAGAGTTATTGACGATAACATAATAGCTTTTTTTTAAATATAGCATATATTTGTAGCTCATCGGTTACAAAATTGCCCCAGGTGTAAAAATTTTAAGTTTTTAAAAAATGCCATTTATTTTTTTAATACCCAGAGGAGAATTTTTATTTAATTTTTCTGGTGACCCTTGTGACCATCCCTATCATCCCCCTTCCTATGTAAGTAACCTTTTGGGACATCCTGTATACAATAATCACATAGAATATGCTGTGACTTTCCTATCTCTCGCTCTAATATATTCGTCTCGATCACATCTACATATTTCAGTAAACTTATACCTTAAAAATGTAACAATGTATATTTTTACATAAGAAAAATATTTCCTAAATATATTTTATCACAACTAATATCAAGATGTTTTGATCGTACTATACATTCAATAATATCCAGAGGTAACGGCGTCCGGATAAAGCCGGACATAGGTTTTATGATTGCGCGTCCGGATTGTCCGGCTTTTTACATTTCGCAAACGAGAATGGCCGAGCGCAGGCGACGAAAGATAAAATCCTCAATAATGTAGGGCGTCCGGACTTTCCACACAGATGTCCGGTCTGTCCGGTTGTTTGGCGACCTGGCAACCTTATCCAGAGGTAACATTTTAAATGTAGAATTTATTGAACAATCTTAAAATCACTCGAAGTCTTAATATCTTTTAAAATCTTCACTTAACTAAATAATGGATGAAAATACAGTATATTTCAATTATATACAAAAGCGACAAAATAATTACACTAGTAAATAAAATTTAAACTATGACACTTCGAGAAAGAAATTTGTTATAATATTCATCCGGTAAACAATTATCTGTCTAATTCCATAATCATCAGCTCGCTATAGGTCTCCACTGTGGCTCAGGAACCTACCCTAAGTCATAGTCACTGCTGCTTCAGTGCGGGTTGACTTAACACATATCTTTGAATTTCTCATATATGGCATCACGATGTTTTAATTTACCGTAAGAACATAGGATAAATGTACATATGTTAATCGGAAATCGAATAACACATTGGTACATGGCGGGATTCGAACCCAGGACCTGCGGAATACAAGTCAACTGCTTAACCACTGAGTCACCGACACTTGTTAAATTAGTTTGATCAAGAAGCCACATAATATCAATTTGAAAACGACGTAAAATATAATTTAATAAATTATAAATGCGTTAATTGAGTTTTTCATACACTTATTTGCTTTTCCTTAAACAAATAATTATATCTTATTCTATTTAACTTAAGTAAATTATATAAATAGTTATGAAAATGTAAACTATTCATACAAAGGCACCATCTCTATACAAATTACATTCAATAAATACATCTGGAATAAATGATATATCTCGGTTTTTATAGTTGATTTCTGAGACTAAAAACGCTAAATAAAATATTTGTTTAATAAATGTCTCAGAAAACCTACGTAAAGACATATATTTGACTATTTAACCTGTTTAAAATATATCTGCAGCTCTAAAATACATATGTTTAGTTCAAAAATTCTTACTTTATATACAATTCAGCACTTATGTTATTTACATAATGCCAGTACAGTAAGACAGTAGCTCTCATAATCAGCGCTGGTTTACAACTGGCATAATGTAAACACAAACTTGCACTAGTTCAACTGCATATGTCTATGCTACTAGCTCGGTTGCCATCTTATGATATGTAATATAATAAAATCTCTCTTCTGTCCCTTTCACTGTTTATATCTATTCATAGAGTGTGTGTGAGAGAGAGAGAGATGTATGTGTGTCAGTTTCTACTGTTGGTATGAGGCGTTGTTTTGTGCGTTCTTCTTCTTGGGCGGTGGTGTGGGAGGGCGGTCGTTGCGTCGTGCTGCTATAGAGTTATACAAAAAGGATCCACGCGGTGTCCACACTGTGTCGTAATTATTCCGAGGCAGTACTTCAGGGTTGTTATTCTGATCGCTGTCGATCTCCGAATGTCGTTGTGATTGTGATTGCTTTTGCGGCAACGGCGGTGGTTCCTCCTCTTCCTGATTCGAATCTGTCGTTCCTGGAAGAAATGGTTGATTTAATTAATCCCGTAAAACTTATACTTCGAATAAGCACTTGAAACCGAGATGCATGTGTGCGTAGATGTATGAATGTAGAAGAGACGGAGGGGTGTTAGGACCGCGACAATGTTGGTTCGTGGTCTCTGCCATTCCTCTGGGTTACGAGCGTAAGTTATATTGTTTGTGTATGAGGTGGTCACCTAGAGAATCCCTATTGGAGTGTGGTGCGGAGGAGGAGGCGAGCAGACTGGCGCGCTGCGACAGCCGGCGCTCTCTCTCGCGCTCCGCCTCCGCGCGCAGTGGACGCTCCGTCACCAGCTGGAACACGAAATTTCTATATAGCTAGATTCGAACAAAGTAAAGACAAGATCAAACGAGGACATTTAGCTCCATGACAAAGACGATGTATCGTAGTTAGTCCTGCCACGAAATATATAAAACCTAGAAGCACAGCAGGATGGCTACAGTACTAGGATCTTGTGACACTTTTTGACGTTGACAGGAGGGCGCTACTGGCATGTTATAATTGAGTACTCACCAGGTCCGATAACTTATCAATCTATAGAGAGGTTTGGGTTCAGTGAATTAAAAGTACCAATACAAATGAAAACACTGTTCCCAATTTTGTTCTGAAACGTTTGTTTTAGAATTACAATAATTCCATATTAGTTTCAATGTATGTCAGACCTCTTGTCGCAGTTCTCGCAGGGGCGAGGAGGTGGAGTCGATGCTGGTGGTGGTGGTGGTGTTGGAGGGCGTGGCGTGGATTGGTGTGGGCGTGGCCTGTGGGCTGGCGCTGCCGTTGAGGGCGGCGCTGGGCGCGTACCACTGACTGCCGCCTCGCTCCGGTGTCTCAGATGACGCCTCCTGGTTCACAAACACCAACTCTAACAATGATACTCAGGGAAAATACCAATACAATAAAACCTGACATTTTAAAATCAATTTACTTTGCATTTTTCTTTTAGTTACTAGATTTTTTTTATAATTAAAGCTTTTAAATAATGGATGTACCTTTTTAGCTCGTCTCTTATCTCGTCTCCTGGGCGAGTTTTGCAATGTACCAAAATAACTGACGACACCTCCGCTGCTGTTCCTGTAAATAATTAGACGCTTAAAGTTTCTTCAATATTTTTAAAGACAATAAATAAAAAAATATCACGAACCTTGTCAATGGATTAATGGCGCTGAAGAATTTTGATTTTGCACTACTGAAACAAATATTTTGAAATTTATATATAAATATCAAAATTGTAAAAACATTTGTGGGATTTAAGATTTCTATTTTTTCGGATAAATATTCAATTACGAATAGTAGTCGATATTACAGAGTTTTTTGAAGGATCATAATATCTGTAGAATGTTGAATTGTATCTACTAGTGGAAAGGAAATAAATTACAAAGGAAAACTTACCGTGGGTTTCTGAGACCAAAAACTTCGTTTTAAAAATACTGTTATCATCTCTGTTTTGGCAAAAATAATAATGACAGAGATAACGATATGTTTTATAAAGAGATTTCAGTCAAGAAACCCACGGTGAGTTCCCTTTTATCGAGTGTGCATGAGACAGTAAGAGTATCTCACTCGTTGCCAGTGGAGATGTCAGATATCCTGTTGTTGATGTTGCCGGGCTCCGTCTGTATACTGTCGCGCAGCGCACGTCGCCGCTCCACCGGCTCCGTCTCCAGCTCGCAGTTCTGACAACATTCACAACTATCTATTCTGACTACTGTCATATGCCACGCACAATGTAGTCCGCGACTTCGTCCGCATGATATACTGCATTTCAGCTGCGCGCGGTACTGGATAGTACTTGGACATTGTAACATTACTTAATTTTTATAAAATAAAAGTTTTTTTTTAAATAAACTTAGCCTAAGTTACTTCATATTACATCAGCTACCTGCCAAAAAAGTCCCGTCAAAATCGGTCCAGCTATTTTATAGATTAGCCGGAACAAACAGACAGACAAAAATTGTAAAAATGTTATTTTGGTGCATGTACCCGCATATATATTCATATACATGTAGTAAAAAAACGGTTATTATAATATTGCAAAGACGTAGTGAGCTGACCTTGCGTCCATACCGCTGGTGCACGTGACTCTGCACGCGCTGGAAGCACAGCTCCATGTGCTCGTGCAGACCCTGCAGCGCTGGGGAGATGCGCGCCTTGTGCACATCCAGACCTGACACAACAAAAAAATAGTATATAAAAAGCCTTTTTTAACTGATGGAGTGCTATTTGTATGAGCCAGCAGTAAAAGAGTGGAAGAGTATGGTGCGACTGACCCATCTTGAGCAGCGGCACCTGGTCCGCGATGAGGTCGCGCAGCTGGTTGAGCAGCGGCAGGTGCTCGGGGCGGCGCGCCTCGTACGCCGGCGTCAGGAACGCGCGCTCGTAGTTCACGATGCCGCCCTGCACCGCCGGGTCCAGGATACCTGGACATCAATGTTGCTTCTTTCAATACCTCACCAGGATCGAAACAACTTTGCCATATTTTTAGTTGTCAACATAACCAAGTGTAATTGAGTAAAAAACTAATTTCAGGTATTAATTGAAAATAAAATATGACGTCTTCCTAATATTATAAATGCGAATATTTGCATGGATGGATGTTTGTTAGAAGGTATCTCTAGAGCGGCTGCATGGATGTCGTTGAAATTTGGCATAGATGTAGACCATAGTTTGATAGAACACATAGTCTACTAATTATTATATTATTTTTTAATTCCACGCGGACGGAGTCGAGAGCAATAGCTAGTTTATATATTTGAGAAAACATAACTTGATACCTTAAAATGGTTTGTAGAATAGAGGGCGATTGTGGCGGCCTTTTTGTAAATGTCTATAGCGTTATATACCATTAAGTCTCATGCTGAGCTGGTGTAAAGGCGCGTCGCTGGTCCTGGCTTCCAGTACGAGTGCCTTAAGTGCGCGGTTTGTCTCCCGCAGCGCCTCCACAGCGGCCTCCAGCGGCGACACCCAGTACGTGCGCACACTCACCACCGGGAACCAACGCAGGATACCTGTCAATTATTTATTTAGACAACTAAGAATTACGTCTCTTTAAATCTAGATAATACTAAGATACAAGAATATATTCTTGCGAAGTCTATTACTGAAGTAACCTTCTAAAACTAGTTTGGCTATATTACTACAATTTGTCTCGATTTGATTATTTACATAAATTATATCTCCACAGAATATTATGTATCTATAATTAAATATATAACTCACCGGGCAATTTATCACTAATTTCAAGTTCCGTCCGCTCCAGCCATCTTGTTGCGAATTCGTTCTGACTGGACACATCCTCATTCGACCCTGTCACCGAATCATCTGAAATAGTAAACACAATACAACGCCATCTATTTTTGGACTTCAAAACTATGACCATAAAATACTTATTAATTATTTTATACATTTCGTAAATATTGTTTTGATATTGTAGTGAGAAACTGGTGATGAACTTACCCGGTTTATGATATGGTCTGGAGAAGACAAATTTGTCGACGTTATTATGTTTGTAGTACTGTAGAATCTGCTCGGCGACAGGCCGACCCGACAGCCGCTTCAACTTGTCCCCCATTACCGGCTCTACTGCGTTGATTTGCAGATCTGTTTATACTGGTTAAGGGAATCCAGTACATATGAAATTGACTATTCAAGCTTCCACTTTGTTAAAGATAACCTTGTTTCTGGCCAACCTTTTAATTGTAGTCAAACTGACAACGTTTGAACTAAAACGCGAACGGATCAATAAAAAAAATAGACAGCCGTTCTGGAGATACCTTCTAAGAAACATCCACCGAACATTCGCATTTATAATATTAGTAAGAAGATAGTAAGATTAGCGTAATAGTGATAGGACAGTGGTCCTGTATCCACCAGCGGTAGACGACACTTCATGGCAATATATACAAAGGATACATTGTCCGTCAGAGTTGGTGATGTCTTCTCCTGGTGGATCGAGACGTGGTAGTACTTCCGCATCAGGCCACTCGTCCAGCAGCCGCTCTTTGAACTCCTGCAGCTGCTCGTACTCGTTGCCGCGGTACACGAACCCCTAACACACACCCTTATTGCTAAAGTCATTATCATTAAAAAAAACAATATTCTCAATATGAATAGAATTCTAAAAATATTGTAAAGAAGAAATACAATTGGTTTGTTTGCACTGCATTGCAATATTACAGTTAAAGAAATGAAACTCACATGGGGCACCCTGAGATGCTCGGGGAATCCAGCCCCATGGTACATAACACGGAAGTACCCTGGATGTGACCTGGGCGTGCGCAGCATGGCCTCGTACAGCGCGGCGAGCTGAGCGTGCAGCTCCGCCAATGGGGCGTATCCCAGCGCCTCCTCCTCGTACACGCCCACTAACTCCTTCACCACCTCCACTGCCAACTCCCACTGACGACCACGGTTGAGTAGTTGTGCTATCTCCAGGTACAGCGCCTCCTGTACAATAAAGCAAGATTAGTCTTATTGTTCACCAATAGTGGTTTCTGACACCGACATTTATACAGGGATCTCAGTCTCAGAAAACATCGATAAGTTAATCGTTAAATTAGTTTTGTGTAATACGAATGGAGACCACATTAGGACTTTGATATGGTAGTTAAATAAATTAAAAATTACTTAAGAAAGTTCTTAGTTTATGTTTTAAACAGGAGACATTAAGAGAGAATGGAATACTGCAATTATAGTAATCTCTTATGAATAAATTCTTAAATCTTTTTTTGAGTTTTCAGTTCCTGTTTGTTTGTTTGTGCGCTTGTGTGTGACCTTGAGGTCCCTGTGCGTGGCGTGGTGCGCGCAGTCCTGCGTGGGATGTCGCAGACGCGGCGGCAGCGGGGCGTCGCTCCACTCCAGCAGCTTGGCGTGCAGCCGCAGCGCCAGCCCCGCCTCCGCCCACTGCTGGGCAGAGCTGTGCATCTGCGCCAGCTTGTGCACGTATCTACACAACATACGTTTTGTACAGACAGATAAACAAATTAAAATTTAACATTGTTGCTTGAATCGCTCGTTCAGGAGCGGGCTAAACGGGTGGTACTAAAATGTATTTTTCATATGTGCACAGGAGGCCAACTTCTAGTTCAGTTCGGAACTATATAAGCGGATTTAGCCGGGGAAGGAGGTAAAGGAAGTGAGAGAGAGAGAGAGAGAGAGTAGGTAAGAATGAAGTAGACTTACCGTATATACATGTGCGGTCGTTCGATCTGCTCGTAGAAGCGCAGCACCCTGGTGGTGAGGTGCATGCGGTGGTGCGCGGCGGCGCGGTACTGCAGCAGCGCGTCCAGCTGGCGCGCGGCGGCGGCCACGAGCGCCGCGCCCGCGCCCCCCGCCCCGCCCTCCCGGCAGCGCGCGCCGCACGCGGACACGAAGCGCGCGCGCCACGCCCCGTCCCCCAGCCCGCGCGACGCCAACACGTCCACCTTGTCTATCAGCTCGCTCTCCAGTGCGCGCAGCGGGTTCTCGCCTGCGTCACACCATCTCCCATCTCTCACTTTCTCTTGTATAAAACATTCATAAAAACTGATGCCCGATGCTAATTCTAAATATATTATTATTATTTCAGTGATGATGTACAATACAATGGTATACGTTATATAAAAGTATAATAAAACAAAAGGCACTGACTGATAATTGAATTTATTGTCTATTGATTTATTGCGAACAAATGTTAGATGTAGTAAGAAGTAATATGATGAAATGTTTACAATACACTAGCTGTCGCCTGCGACTCCGTTCGCGTGGAGTAGAAAGAAACTTCATTAGTAACCTATATATTATTTTAGGATATGTTCTACATCTAGGCCAAATTAAATCGAAATGCAGACGTTATGGAGATACCTTCATCCATTCATTTAAACATTCGCATCTTTACTATTATAAAATTGAACCGTTAAAATGTTAGTTTGGTTTAAGACAATACTTACTGTTCTCCCCGCTGGCCACATTGTGCGAGTACTCAGTGATCATCATGTCGTAGAAGAGCGGGATGGTGGTGTTGCGCACCTCGTCGTCAGGCAGGAAGCTCACCTCCAGGAATGGTCCCACCAGGGACGGGATGAACGACCGTTTGTGTTCACCTAATTATCAACAAATTAAACTAGTTGATAATTAAAGAAACTAAGAAAAATAAAGACTTTCTCACTAAAGCATTCGTAGCAAACAAGCAAGCGATCATCTAAATTCGCCAAAATAGCGAAGCGACCGTTGTCCATAGATATTTGCGAATTCAGAGGAGACAGAAAGAAGATATTTTTCCTTCCCAGCCCTCTTCCGTTAAATCCACTTCCCCTTCCCATCATTTCCATATAAGAAAAAGTCGGGAAGGAGTGTTGCAGTTAATGTTAACCGATTTGTTTTATAAATAAATAATAAA